TAATGATAACAAGAACACAAGTGTATTGGACCCATGCATGTCATCAGTGCAGTCAAGGTAAAAACCTCTACTGAGAAACTGAGTTACAACGCAGCAAGTAACCATTTGTTTTGCCTGTAAAGTTTTCTGGTTTCTTTCAATATGTATTAGTTCCTCCTTTATTTGAAGAACAATATTTTGATGAAAAAATAATAATAATAAAAAAACCACACACACAAAACTCATGCATAATTTATAGAGTATTCAGATATTAATAATTCAATTTATTTGGTCAGTTGTCAGCACTTTTTCAGAGGACATCCACATCCTGCATTTAGATGCTCAAATCACCATAGAAGTTGAGCACATCAGTATAAAAGACCTGAACTGTCTCCAAAGTGCCCATGCGTGAAATCTTGGTATGTTAAGCATTTCTGGCAATTTGATTATGTAATTGTTTTTAATTAGTGCTTGCTCTAAGCCCAACCACCGTGAGTGTTAAAAATGAGATAACTGATAAAGAGAAAGCTTCACGCCTCAGTCAAGTACAGATGTTAAAGTGGAGAAAATGTCACTTAGCATCGGTGTCTGAAGCAAGTCCATTAGCTTCCCTGTGATGAATACCAACTCTAATAGAGCTTTTCTAGAATAATTTTAATGTGGAGTTTCTGTCAAGTCAGTCAAGCAACACGACACCTAAAGTAAAAGCTTCATGAATACTTTTCAGGGTTTTTTACATGGTTATTTTACTGCTGTTGATAAGAACTTCCTATTTGGAGGTTTGTGATTTTCTGTAATTTTGTGCCAGACAACTGCAGAATTTGGTAACAATTTGTTAGTATGTAGTGACCTGCACCAGCATAATATCAGCAAAGGAAAACTGTACTGTGTGGATGAGTATTTTAAGTCAAACGTATTAATATTCTCTCTTTAAACAGATAAAACGAAAACTTCGGCTCAGAGACGGCTATATTTAGTGTGCCTTTTGAAATCCCTAATATGATGTGTATGACAGTTTTTAATGCAGCCCTCCTGTGAAAAGCAGAAGGTGGTGGCGTTGCAGATATCTTTGTCACATGCCCATCTTTTATGTGTCCACAGTTCACAGTCACTTATCTCTGATGATCTGTACTGATTATCAGAATCTTTGTGCTCTACACGTTGATTTAAGAGGCTTGCCATGGTTACAGAGCCTCTGATTCTATGGTAATGACAATATTTATAGCTACAAGCAGATTCCAGTGTTTATCATAGTTTTAATATTGCTATAATTTTCTTTGCTGTAGAGTAGCTCCTTGGTCAAGTTGCACTCATTATCTGTTTTTACTGTCTATATAATTTCAGCAGGAAAATATTTTTACTTTCCTTCTCTAACCTAAGTTCTGGGACATCAGAATATTTTTGAAATTGGAATTTAGGTTGTACCTTTTTCAATTGCGAATGTCACCATAAGTTTTGGGATGTTGCCTCTCTTGTGAGAGACACGGACATTGCAACTCCTGGGCAGGCAAAGCCAGTCGTGTTGTAGAGAGAATTAGGTTCTCAAGTTGGGAGTACCAAAGTTACCACTTCAACTCCCACTGGTCATTCAGTCATTGATAACATCGTCAGAGTCTGTCCAGGGTTTAGGAGAACTCCAGCATCAATTGGTGAACACATTTACTACAGTGTTGGCCACTTCTGAAGTGTACAGATTAAAGATGTGAAAGATGACTGAATCAATTATTTTGATATTATGTTTTATCTTGTGAAATTTATTCTTAAACAATTTTTAGGTATTTTGTTATATTCCTGCTGCTTTCCACTGTATCCAGGGTGGTTTCTCTATACTTTCTAAATTTTGGGATGAGATCCTGTATCATTTCAAGCCTCAGGACATACTCTGCTGTGTGCCATCGTTTTAATCTGGTTTCATCTGGAGAAAAAAATCAGTGTATAAGTGGCATAAAAATGTGGTGGATCTCACCAGCTAGGCATGTGACGTGGGCTGTCTGTGTGATTTAAGCACAAAAATCCATTTCGTTCTGGAATACTAGTGGTCTTCAAAAGAAGAAAGGTGAAATTAATTATACTTTTGCCCTGCTTGGATTCTGGTCTCTAGGTTTAAAATGTAAAGTATTGCACTGAAGCTTAGGAATCTCCATTTATTTCTAAAAACAGAACAGTAAAACAATTCAATTTTTAAAAATAATTTTAAAAAACTCCACCATTTAAAATAAAGAAAGCTTATTTTTTAAAAAAATAAAGGACTCAAATACTAATGAATCATTAAACTATGATATGCTAGTACCAGGTGCCTTCAAGACCAGTATTGTAACTCTGATCTGCCAAAGCTGACCTTAGACAGACTTACTCAAGTCTAAAGATGATCAATAAACCTGCTAGGTTCTTGACTTTTGCATCTGAAAGTTTTGTACATTATTATATTTTTTCCTCTGAATGTGTAACTGGCATGACCTGAGTGACTGGACAGCCAGCTCCTATGTAAACCTTGCAGTTTTCCTAGCTTTCCAAGAAGCGGAAAAAACATTTTCACCTTATCCCTGTTCAATTATTTTAAAAAATACAGTATGATACATTAAGTCAGAAGATAATGTGAAGGGCTTTGGATCCTGAGTGGATGGAAGCATCCTCCTTGCATCCTTCATTTCAGCAACTAGGTTCAAAACAGGGCATCTTCTGTGAGCTCTGCCTGCATGGCTGCATTTACAGCATATAGGTTTTTGGATTGAATTTCTGAAATACCTGATTTTCCTCATGTGTTCTTACAGTGTGAGCATTCTCCCTTATAGCTTAGATTTTGTTATGTCTGTAAAGTATTGGAATGGTAATGACTCTTAAGAAACCTAAGAAAGTTTCTCGATATATTCCCAAGCTCCTTTCTCTCTCCACTTGAAACATATTTAAATACGTTCTGGTATTGCAGCTTTATAAAATGGACATTTTTATTTAATAAAAATATTATACTCTATGGATGTTCATAGAAAATTCTGTCCTGTGAAAGTGTGATGTGGTTATTTTCAGTATGAGATTGCGTATGATTTTTTATTCTATGTTCCTTTGACCCCTAGCTGGTGAAAATACTTAGTATGAAATAAAGCAAATAGCTACATTAACTCCACGTAGCTGAAGTGCGACTTCAGAATTAACTCATGTTAATTAGTTGCTTTACTGAAGCTGTAACTTTTCAATGTTTGGTATGTTAGCAGATGAAAAGCTTATAAATATAGTAGTTATCAGTTTGAGTGAATTGATTATAAATTCCAAGTTTTTCTGGCAATAAAGCATAGAGAGTATACATTTAGCCAGTTTGGTCTTATGGACCATAAAGTAAAATTGGTAAAATCTAAAGAATACCACTAAAGAATAGAGAAAATAATTTCTAGTCCATCCAAGAACAGTCTGCAGAGCTTTCACTTGTCTTAATTCTTGGAAGTGCTGATAGCTCTTTGCTCTATGGGGTAGCAGATAGTGGCCTACTAAGATTCTTGTAGTCCTTGGTTCCCTCTTTCTTTACTTGCAGAATTTTTCTGCTGATAGATAAAACTCTGTAGTTCATCATTGGCTTTCAGCTGAGAGTACACATAACATTACTTGATTGTTCTGAAGTCACAAGCAAATATCTGTTCATTTACATCATTTTCTTAAAGTGATTGTAATGATGGAATGGTATTTTTATCTTTTAATGTACACACGTGTGCTTACACATACCCCAGCTCACAGCTACATGTAGGAAGAAGGTAATTGATTCATGTGTATCCTTGGTCCTAAGGTCATACAATGAATAGGAGTAGTAATACTTAGTAATACTTAGTTGGAAGTATTGAACATTCTTGGAACCACGAAATGGAATGAATTAATGAGGTTTTGCTCAGCTGCTTGCTAAAGGTTTTCCAGGAATAAAACTATGAATAATATGATAGAAGACCAAATACTCGTGGAATATGAGAAGCTTTTCATAGGGAAAGAATTGCAGCTTTATGAACCAGAATTTTCTAGTGTCAGGGAGATCTCTCTAACCAATTTTTTACTTGGTTACTGTCTTCTACTGTCACTTGTCATAGCTGTCAGGAGCTTTTTGACAATCTATTTCTGCAAAACGTTATCATCAGGTTAAGATTTACAATTCTTCCATTTGTTATCATCATACATTGATTTGATCCTCACAATATTTGTGGAAACTTTCATGAAACTATTACATACTTGGTATCATTTTTTCAGTGAGTGGTGAAAAACCACCGGACCGGTGAATTCAAGTTGTGTGATAAGGTGCAGAGAGCTACTTTAATACATATTTTAAAAAAAGATTTTTCTTAAAAACCTATGTAAAATGGCCTTTTAAACTATTAAAATTGGGAAGGCTTTTGCTTAGAACAATTTGTGTCTCTTATTGTCCTAAGTCAAGATTAGCTCCAGGATGTAAGTGTGTGTCTGTGTAACCTTAGCTACACGAGAATCACATTATCATAGAAGGTTGCTTAGGTTCACACCCAGGAGTAAAATCCCATGTCACTGAGTCATTTTTACTTTAATTCTCTGAAACAGAAATCTTTCTTGAACTCAAACTCTATATCTCTCTAGTAGTTTACTATTCCAACCTTTAAAACTGAAATTTGGATTCGTTTTGAATTGTGGACATTTCTGTGTGACGTATCATAATATCATACATTTACAAAACTATTACGATATAATTTTGTATGTTATTTTAAGGAAAAGTCTGTTTACCTAGTTTTTCTATTAACGCATCATACTGACCACAAATTACCATAAATGGGCAGATTGGTGCATGGCAATTTATTTCTATACTTTTAAACTGTAATTGTAGGAATGATGGCTGTATTTAAACCAAGCATAAAATCATGAATCTTTGCAAAAATATTTTTATTACAGAAGCTGAGAAAAATAAGCGACAACATTCTTGATCAAAGGCCGTCATTTATCATGATTATGACTGCTATATATGTGGTAGGAAAATAAAAAGTGCAATTTCAGATTTATTGAATATTTGCATTTCTTTTTAGATTATCGACATAATGGGAGAGATCTTCAGAGTTCAACGCTATCAGTGCCAGAACAAGTCATGTCATCTAATCATTGCTCTCGATCAGGGTCCCCTCACCGTGGAGATAGTATAGGACGGACTAGATCATGGTCTCCTAGTGTCCCTCCCCCACAAAGGTAAATTGCTGTTTGAACATTCAGTGTATAAATTTACGTGCTGTTGATCCTGTGAAAATCCTGTGAAAATATTGGAAAGAATCTCCTGACCTTCAAAATGGGATTAAATTAAATAGATTTTATGAAATTATGTAAAGCCAATGTTTTCCTTACATTATATTGATGTCTAGAAATTCATCTGATTTTGTATCTAAGGAAAGAAAAATTCTTCTCTAGATTTCTATTTTCAAGAGCTATTTAGAAGGTGCTTTATAGCATCTGATGGTTTGACATTTTCTCAGTGTTTGTCAGTGGTGTTTTCAATCCTTTTCTCTGTGCAGAATTAAGACCCTGGGAGTGCCATACTTCTTGCCCGTGGTAGCTTTCTTTCTACATTTTTTTTTTCAGACTCATAAAGTATCAATAGTAAATTGACACACATACAATTTTATACTGAAAAATGTCAGCTCTTGATCTTGAGAAGCTTCTGATAGCTTTTTATCTTGTAAAACAAAAGATCAGGACATTTCTTCCAAAAACTGATGAATTTGGTTAATTACTACTATTTCATTAAATATATTGTTTAAGTAGGAAGTAAGAATTTTCCTGCAAGGATAAGTTTTCTTAAGAGGAACCAAAAATATAGATGTAAAGGGGAGTGAAGCCCATGTTCCAGTATTTTTTTTTACTATGTATGGGTAGGTTTTCAATTACTCTAATGCAGCTGGAATAAAAGGAATAAGGTAATGTTCACAACTGTCATTTAATACTGAAGATCTGGCATCCAATATTCCCAATAAGGTACGTGTGTGTATTCCTTTCTTCTACAGCCATTCTGATTCTTGTGTTCTGCTTTCTTTTCTGTTATTACTGTTCTTTCTGTTAGCTTAAAATTCTCTTAACTTCATATTCTCTTACTTATGTGTTTACTTACCATTTCCCCTAACAGATACAGACTAAATGATATCATTTTCCATTAGTGAAGTATTAGGATTCCAAATTATCCCATATCATCACAGACAGCTAACAGGCAGAAACTGTAAGTTTCTACTTGAAATCTAAAAGCCTACATAAATACAGCCTTGCTTTAAATGAGACGTGCTGGTAATCAGATAAATAGTAGACACAGTGGGGTCTATTTTGATTTCAACTATACTAATTTCGGACTAAGTAATTGCCTGTGCTAACTCTCCTGGAGTTACTTTTATGAGATACAGACATAAATGTGAGCAAAATCTCTCTTTTTTTCCTCTCTCTTTTCTCTGTCTCTCTTTATGTGTGTGGCGGGGTGTGGGTGCTGTGTGCATTTTGGGCAGAATTTCTACGCAAGCTAGTAATTACTACTTGTCTTGCACCATTGAAAGGCCTTTTAATTTTCTTGTTATTTTGTGTTCCTTACGTGTATGAGATGTTTCTTGCTTCCTGATTTTCTTAAAGCTAATACTTTAAATATAATTTTGAACTTACAGAGTAAACCACTTCAGCTGTTTCCTACAATGTCACAGTCAAATGCGTTATTTATCTAATATTTCCCTGCCTACACCCCAAATAATTTCTTTGAGGATTTGTAGAGCCTAGAGAATTGGGTTGCTTGAACTTGAGACTTTGTAGAAAAAAAGAAACATCATCTTTGAATTACAGAAATGCCCTTTTTAACTCTAATGAAAATCTAGCTGTATCTGGCAAAGCTGTAAGCATTGTTAATCACATTTCCACCATGCTTAGCTGGGTTTGTTATGTATGTGCTGCTACAGGTATGTTCTAACTGCAGTGAGCATGTTGCACATGCAGAGATTTCAGTTACTGATTGCCTCTGCAGACAAGGGCTCTTGGATCACAGAAGCTCAAGGTGCTTCATGTCATATAAGTTATTTTGCAGTCCTCAGTCCTTCTACTGGATCTTGTTACTGAATGTGTATAGCTTGAAGCCCTTAAAGTTCACCCGTGCAGAGGTGAGAACAGGTTAAAAAGTCTTAAATAGAACAGTAGAAGACTCCTGTAATGTTTTCAGCTAATTCATGTAACGGGCTGTGTGATTCTGACTAGATCAGGATGGAGTTTAGACAGGCACTGAACAACGTCACGTTTAGCTTTTTCTAAGAGTGCATTTGAAGAAGCAAGATGAGGGCGACTGTAATGATCTGGATGAGGGGGTGAAGTGCACCCTCAATAAATAAACAAACAGTACCAAGTTAGGCAGGACTGTTGATATGCTTGAGGGTACGAAGTCTTTGCAGAGGGATCTGGATAAGCTGGATCAATGGGCTGAATATGATTGCATGACATTCAACAAGGGTAAGTGTCAGGTCCTGCTCTTGGGTCATTACAGCCCCATGCAGTGCTGTAGGCTTTGGGAAAAGTGCCTGGAACGTTGCCCAGCAGAAAAAGAGCTGGGAATGCTGGTTGACAGCTGGCGAAACATGAGCCAGCAGTGTGCCCAGGTGTCCAGGAAGCCAATAACATCCTGGTCTGTATCACAAATAGTGTGGCTACCAGGACTAAGAAAGTGTTGTTCCCTTCTACCCTGCACTAGTGAGACCGTGCCTTGATTATTGTGTTCAGTTTTGGGTCCCTCTTTACAAGAAGGATATTGAGTTGCTCAAGCATGTGCAGAGAAGAGCAGTGAAGCTGGTGAAGGGACCAGCAAGCAAGACTTACGTGGAGTGACTGAGGGAACTGGGGTTGTTCAGTCTGGAGAACATGAGGATGAGAGGAGATGCCATTGCTCTCTACAACTACCTGAAAGGAGGTTGCAGTGAGCAGAGTGTTGGCCTTTTTACTCAGGTGGAAAGTGATAGGATGCAAGGAAACAGTCTCAAGTTGTGCCAGGGGAGGTTTATTTTGGATATTAGGAAGAAATTCCTCACCGAGAGGGTGGTCAAGCATTGGAACAAGCTGCCCTGCAAAGTGGTGGAGCCACTATCCCTGGAGGTATTTAAGAGACCCATGGACATGACACTAGGAGACGCGGGTTAGTGACGGGACTCAGTAGGTTAGGGTAATAGTTGGATTTGCTGATCCTGAAGGTATTTTCCAACCTACATGACTCTGTGAGTCCACAGAAAGTGACTAGGCTGAAATGGTGTGGTAAATCTAGTAGGATGCTCAATATTCTCCTCCATTACCAGCTGCAATTACACCTTTTCATTTGCTTGTGTGTTACTTGGTTGCTTCACTCCATGCACGTTCTGTCAATTGCAAGGAGTTTCAAAGGAATGGATAAATAAAGTGTGAAAGCAACTTTTCTTATATAACAAGTTCCATTGGAGAAAGCATGTAATTTCCTGGTAAATATTAAATCTGGCAAACAAAGGCATCCATAGCAGAGTGAGAGAGAACTGATGCAGTTTAACACTTTGTTTGAAGTACAATAAATATAGTTGTGTAGGAAGTTAAAAAGCAGCATGAAGTCAGAATCTGATATAGCAAAGAAATCTAAAGAAGAAATTATTTATTTGGAGCAGTAAGCCTAGAGCACAATCTTAATGAAAGCTGTTTAAGCAGACAGGATGGTACTGGGATTTCAGGACTAAGGCTAATAGTTTGGGCAGGAGTTCTGATTGTGTGGGCAAAGAACAAATATCAGATCTTTGGGAATTTTTGCAAATAAATGACAACTTGATAAAGCTTTAATATTTCAGTCAAAAGAAGGGCTGAATAGCAAAAAATAACACTAGAGACAGAAAAATGCACGTTTTTTGTTTGTTTGTTTTTTTGAAACCTGAATAGAAAGAGAGACTGTGGATGAGAATTGATTGTTGGTGGAAAAGGTAGAAAAGTCAACAGAGAACAACAGAATACCGCTCTGCATCCATTTTAAAGTAAAAATATGCATGAAATAATCCAACTGTGTGGTAAAGGTATTTTGGTATACATCATTTTGGTATAAATGAGGTGGTTGAAACATGTACAGAGGAGTTATGTGCCAGACAGTTATAGAGTGGAAGGTGGAAGAATTGTACCTATTTTTGATATGGAAAATGAAATATTTAGTAGTTGAAGTCAACTTCATATTTGGCTTCATGAGACCCAAAGTGAAGAAATCACAGAATGGTTGGATGGGACCTCTGGTGGACATCTGGTCTGACCCCCTGCCCAAGGAGGGCCATCTAGAGCACGTTGCCCTGTACAGCGTCCAATTAATTTATTAAAAGTGGAGTAGAGCTAACAGCAAAAGCAAATAGTGCAACGTCTTTATATAGCACTTCTGTGCAGAAATAATTAACAGCATAGCCTGTGGTGAAGGATACATGTGGAGGATGACACTTGCCAGGGACTGGCAAATGACAGAAGGTAAGGATGATAGGTACCAAAAAGACAGACAAAGAGACAAAGAAGAACACAGAAACTGGAATAAAAGAGAAATGAGGCCCACATTAGGGAAGACTGCAGGTGAGAATGGGAAACAGAATTTCTTGACCTAAAATGTGAATTTACAAGGAGGGAAGCACACGTACCCTGTTATTCAGATCCAAACAGATCAATCATGATTTAGCTATCCAATAACTGTCACATATAACTGTTGCCTTCCTGTCTTGCCATTCTTGTAAATTTGTTTTACAAAGCAGAAAAGTGAATTTAGTGTGATTCAGTCAGTATTGATGGCTAAACTGAGTAAAGCAATCTATAGGCAAGGCTTTGGTCTCACACAGAACAAAACCAAACAGATGATTGATGCTCTTGAACCAAGTCTGCGCTAAGTGTGCCACTTACAGTTGCTATTGGAAATTTAAAAAGTTTAATTAACAATTCTGTCTTTTTCAGATTCTATAATAATGAGAGTACAGAACAAGCTTTCCACTCAAAAAATAAAAAGAAAAATCAGCTCTTTTGTTTAGATGACATGTTGTTATCAGGCTGCACTGTACTGTAACAGCCAGCAGTAGTAATTGTGTGTTAATACAGTTTACATGTTTATAGTATTACCAGGCTCAAGAGCTCTTCAAAAATTCTTTACAGTGTATGTTTCAACTGGGAAGGTAATTTTCATTGAATGTACGTATTTGGAAAGACTAAGGAATATTTGATTAAAATTTACCATTTTAATAAAATAATTGATACTCTCTCATTTCCAAACCAAACAAATATCAAAGCAAAACAAAAAAAACTCTATCCTTACCATTGGGGTTATCACCTTTGTCTGCAGAAAAAAACAAACAACCTTGAGATTTTAAATTATGTGAGCATGAAAACATACAAAAGACAGGTCAGCAAACCCATCTCATTTCCTTCATGTTTGCTAACAAGTGTCTGTACAAACGAGTAAGGGGATGTGGCCCAGGTGCACCCAGAATTCAGAATCTGCTGTCTTTTATCCCTAGTCGGAATGTGGATCAGGGACCACGAGGGACACGATCTACTCCTGCTCATTACAATACCCTGAACCGAATGGAAAGACACCGTGTAATAGATGACCACTACTCTCCGGACAGAGAGAGGTAAATATCTGACAGGAATTAGAAACAGCTGTAGCCTGCATTCATCAGTGTGCATACTTCAAATCTCTAAAATAGATTACAAAAAAAATCACTTACCTAGTCCTACAGGTGAGCATTTCCTTACTCATTTAAAAATATTCAGTGTGCACAAGGCTGACAAAACAGTGAATGCTGTTTACCTTTGCTAAGAGGGAAACTGAAAAATCTGTGACAAATTATGCTATAAAAACAAAATAGCTTAGTTGTTCTATTTTATTAAAATATTTTATGTACTATATTCATAAATTCTCTAAGTACTGAATACCTCAAAAAATTAACAATGGACTTGGTCATTTTTGCTGCTGAATAAAGAGACATAAAGATAATTTGAGCTCAGTAATAATATAATACTCCTATTGTATACAGTCCAATTAAAAGACATAACAAAAGTATATTCTAGGACTGTGTTTGTCTTTTCTAAATTTCATGAGACATTTGATGATAAAATTAGCTATTATAGCAGTATGCAGTAGAATGAAATTGGGGTCTTTGTGTTTAGAAGCACATGACTAATGTTTTGCCTAATCGAACTACCTAAACAATGAACAAAACTGTAGCAACCTGTATGAATTTTAATGATATAAAACAGAATTGCAAGCTCTAGCTTGCTATTATAGTTAATTTTGCTGGATTAATTGTGGTAGTGCCTTTGTGCAGTTACAAAAATATTTCTAAGATCTTTTCCACCTCATTGTCTTCAGGTCAGGAAATCACAAGTATGACATAGTTGAACCTCCTTTTTTTCATTAAAATATTTGACATTTCTGTTTATGCTGCAGAAAAATGCTATAAAAGCATTGGCTGATAAGACTAGCTGATTTTTATACAGATGGAAATGACTTAAGGATTTTAAGCTGTTTCCTTAGAATAAAATTAATAATAATAATAATAATAAAAAATAAAAAAATAAACAGAATGCTCTTGGGATAATACTAAATTGATAGCAAGACCAGTCTTCCTTGACAGGGTCTAAACTTATCCTTAGAGACTGTGCATGCCTCATGGAACGTTTTTGGGTTTGTTCACTGTGTGAGTTTGCTTGCTGCCTCCCACATATATGCATAGCTGTGATAAGTGGTCTGAAATACAGCATTGCAGTTTTTCCCCATCATTTAATCAAATATCCCGTAGTGAACTGCCTTGGGTTAAAAAGAAAGCGAATCTAGTTTTTTTTAGAACACGTGAGAAAAATGTCAGAAATTTGTAAATTATGAAAGTATTGAATTTTCACATGACCATTCTTGATGAGTAGACGTTTTCTTGTTAGGTATGTTCTGAAGCTCTGAATGGAGGTATGCCATCTGTATTTTCCAAAACGCAGAAGTTCTTCTGTTCCTTCATGGTTAGTGGTTGGCTAGGCAATTAGGTTGTTGACTAATTATACCTCTGTTGCAACATACAGTCTCTGAAGCATCTTGGACCTAGACAACACTATAATAGAAAAAGACTAGTCCCAGGCATTTATAACATTTTATATTCATTGTTAACTAACAGTGATTTTAGGAGTGGAAAGATTATTAGACTTCAAATTATGTTACTGAATATTTCTCTGATGCCATCTGCATTACATAAGAAAGGACGGTGCATGCACAAGTCCTTGGAATAACACTTCAATAGCATTAACTGTGAAAACTGCTGGAAATGCAGGCAGTTTGAAGTTGAGAAACTGAACTTTTAAACAGGTTTATAAACTTTTTTCTTGTCATCCTTATTTTGTTCCACACCCACCTTTGTGAAAAAAAAAAATCGTACTTTGCTTTCCCACTGCTCTGATGGTTTGCTGTTTCCACGGTCCATTTATACCTTGGAGCTGTTTGCAAAAAAAGGGACTTTGAAAAAGTACCTTCTCGTTGACAGGTTCAGTTGCTAAGTTAAAATATGGCAGCGAATATGTGTAAGAACCTTTCTTCCTTCCTTTTCTAGGTAATTCAGCATAGAGTTGTCTAACATGTATGGTACTAAGGAGTTAGATGCAACAGAGTATGAGAATGTCTGATGACCTCAAGGCTGATGGCAATGTGCACATTCCCTCAAAACCAACTAGTGAAAAGTTAGAAGTGGAAATCAGATTATTTAAAAAAGCAGAAAGACAGACATTTTTAGTTTAGTTAGAGATGATTTTAATTTCAAGCACCAAGCTTTTAAATATATCAAACTTTGCTGTTGATATTTATCAACTCTGATGTTGATAAATATATCAAACTTTGCTGTTTCATAAAAAAGTGTAAAGAGTGCTACTAAGAGGGGAGGATAATTGTGTCCTCCTTGGATCTCCCTAGTGTATCACTTAAAAATCGCTATTGAATAATAGATTAGAAAAAATGGATGATCATAAATGGATGAACAATAATAAGTGGATGATAGAATTTTCTTGTGTCAACCAAATTTGATTCATGCAAGCTGTAGCAGTGGAACAGTCTTGTTTTGCATTCAGAATTACTTACAGACTTTGCAATAAGCACAAGACAGTCAGGATGCAAGTGTACTCCAGTCGTTCCATTTCCACAGAAATACTTGGGAATCAACTTCCCAGTCTAATACGGAAGCTGGAATATTAATTAAATGGTGAGAGCTGGTCACAGAGAATGAACATTGAAAGGAATGGCTGGCTAACCTTCTAATGCCTCATCTTCACTGTTGAGTGAAGTATCCCAAGCAGTAAAGACCAAGTCAAACTCCCCTTGCACAGTAAGAACAGGAGGGAACGCAGCGTGTGGTGCAGTGAGGCACTCTGTGTACATGTGTGTGCTTTCAATATGCTTCTGAGCCTGGTTTGTTATGTGAAGCCTGTGCCTGGTTACTAAATACTAGAATTAGGCAATCTGAATTACTGACATCTGTTTTGTTACCCTCATGGTTTACTGAATTTTATGAAGGTGTGAGGAAATGGACAACTAGGTGAGTGAAACCAGAAAATTTTAAGCCATCACTCTCTGTTCATTGAAAAAAAAAAAAAAAAAAAAAAGGCATTATAATGCTTGCCTATATCTGTGGAACTGTGTTGGAATAGTGGAAATCTGTTTCCACCTGATGCAGGGGAGAGAGAGAAATTGTGTGTGTGTGTTTATGTAACTGGTAGCATTGCAAAAGCTATAGTACTTCCTCATCAGACTAATTTTATTACTTTAATGTAAGTAAAATGTGTTACTGCTGCAGATTGCCCTCTCTGTAGCAAAATATGTAATGTTTCAGAAATTTGTGAGGCTGCAGACTTAAATTTTTATTTTGCCATACGATCATTTGACATTCTTTTGCCTACTTTTGAGTGCTATAATGTAGAAAATAAGGAGTGTGTGCTAAAAGGCTGCAAGTCTAAATGGAGGTTATCAAATAAAAGTATCTTGGAGATCTTGTTTCTTTTTAAAAATCTGCTGTGTGTAAAACATGGCCATGTCTCTGTGGTCTTCCATGTATTCCTACCTGCATGTGCACCAGATCATGATTTTCATGAACAGCTCAAAAGACATTTTTATTTTGGGTTCAGGTCTGGAACATTTTGGAGTTGTTTTGCACTGAGGCAATGCACAGCTTAATGGGAGCAACCACTTTCATTATGATTTTATTACATAATGACTTACTTACATTATGCTTTTAGGAGTTCTAGACTGGCTGTTAGCCAAATCAAAGTTTTGCATGTCTTAGTTTTCAACAGGGAGAAGTAGGTAAGTCAGGGGCATCTCTGGTGTTTTGCTGTTAACATACTTATAAAAATCTATAAAATATATTTGAAGCTCAAGACATAAAGTATAATAACAACAAAACAAATAAGAGTATTGACTGGATGCTCAGAAGACAGACAGCATTTAAACCTTTTGCTCTGCATGCTGAAACACATAAACCACAGAACAATCTGCAGCCTCCTAATGTGCATCCTATCATATTTTGACCTAAATGATGTCAGTCGTTCTGTCTTCAACACAGATATGGCATGTACCTTTCCTTTCTTGATTAGCTTGCATAATTTATGGCACAATATTATGGTACATCAATGGAAATCATTTCCAGAGCAGGAGAGAGACATACTTACATGAATAATACATGTAATATGATTATTGCAGCTAGAAAAGGTGCATATTATGAAAATGCTACAGACTATTTAGGCTATATATTCTTGATTTATGGTGAATTACTTGATTTATGATGAACTCCAGTAAGCTACTGGAGACACAGTTCTACACATTCATCTACACACTCATGTAGAACTAATTTTTCCTCTTAATGAATTCAAACATGGTATTATTTTATTTTTTTTTTTGTGTTGCACTTGTAAGAACATATTATAATGCATTCTTATATATTATAAATTAGGTAGCACGTATAACCTGTTCTAAACAATAGGGAAAAGTATAAATAGCTAACAGTGCCAGAGGACCAGGTCAAGTATAAACTAATGCTTACTTGAAGTCGATGTATGGACAAGCAGAGTTTTGAGTGGTAAGAAAGCATATATCAAACTTGTCAAAGTTTGTTATATATCAGACAGTATATGTGAGTATATCTAAACGGCAGATTACTCTGATTGTAAATTCCTGAATTTAAAAAATGGTTGAACACTCACAAGCAAAAGTGTTGGGACTTGATAAGAGCACTAGAGCTCTGAGTTTCTACAAGTATTAGGACAAAACTTGATACCAGAGATCAGGCATTTACGATAATTTAGTGGGGATTTGGGAAGTAGTTAGGAGTCAAAACTGAAGCCAAGCATTTACTGCTGGTGTTTCATTCATATACCAGTAAGTGATGGGAACAGTCTGAGGTTTTCTGTCTTGTGGACAGTAAGTTAAGCTGTGTGCAAATAGCAATTGCCATTAAATTCATATTCTGCAACACCCACCACTTGAAGACCTAGTTTTGTTTAAAGCTCTTCTTTTTAACAACTATTTTAATATATTGCATTTATTTGATTTTGAAAGATTGTCAAGAAAATTTGTCAACAATTCATTGAAGAGAGAAAAGGGGAAGTGAAAGTAAATTGTTAACATCAAATTGCTATCTACCAGATGGAAGCACTAAATTACTTATTAACCATAATTTAATATTTGCAACAGTTTTGCAGTCCTACTTCCAGCACTTCATCTAAATCGTTTAAAGGCATATTCCTATAGACGTAGCCTGTGAATAACTACAGAGTGGTGAATATAGACTGATATGCAGATGTTTGCCATTGTTGCATATATCATAGCTGCTATAGGGTAGACTCCTACATTTTTATTTGATTGTTCTTCCTGTGGGTGTGCATATGTTCTAAAGGAAATTTTATGAACATGACGGAATTATTTTTTAATGCTTCTTGGCAGCATGATGACTACTGAGCTGTTACGTGTAGGCCAATTTTAGTATTCAGGTCCCTGTATTAGTTCAAGGACACTAATACAATTTACAGCCTGCTGTGTAGCTCTGTGATTATTTTCTTAATCATTAGTCCTTCTTAGGGCTTTGCCTTCTAATTTTCAACTAATTGTGTGAAATTGGGCCCCACTGAACGGTGTACAGCTCCTCATTCATGTACCAACCTGCCTGAAAATAAATTATATAACCAGGGACTTAAGTTACACTCTTTTTATAGTGGTGGCTATGTGCTTTTGCATTTGTTTGGGAAGCAGTGAACACAAACACCTCTTATACTACATATAACTATCCTAATATACTTATAAGGAATATTTACATGTGGCTGATTGATATATTTTATCTATGTACAAAAGAGACAAAGATAATATGTGTAATATAGCTACCAGTAACAATTTGTCTGATTACTAGAAGATCATTAGCTACAAGCAAATTAAGACATGAAAAGTAAAAGTGTTTTGTACTTCTACTGTGGACTTTTGTTACTAGGCATCACTTTAAAATACCCCAACTTCAGAGGAGCTGTAGACCAGGGACTCTCTTCTGCATTGTAATAATTCATTGTAAATTGTGAAAAAAAGTACATTTAAAAATATGTATTTTCTGTACTTTGTACATATAATTTGTACTAAAAGAGAAGTAATAGTCTATTTTAAATAACTTGAGAATGTTATTTTTAAAAACTTGAGAATTACTGCTGTAATGTATAAAAATGTATTTTTTTATTATTATTTTTTAGTTTTATTCAAAGTACAAACAAAATGTGAATACCTTGTTTTCATTATTTTGAAATGCATGGATTTCTTTTCTGGTATGTTCTGTTACGTCATATGATGAATATCTCTTCATTAGTTATTTGAGTAATAATGAGGATTTCATGTAGGTTCATCTTTTATCACAGTAGGATAAATATTAAAGAACACCCTCAGAAACAGTAAAGCTCCAGAGCTCGCTGTGTGGAGGCAGACGGGCAGGTTTCCCAATGGTGTTAGCCTTTCAGACAAAGTAAACCTCTGCCAAAGATATTGTTCATACTGAAGTTATCACTGCCTGCAGGCAAGGGAATGGGCAATATGACTTCTGGAGATTGCTTTCAGACACACATGTAGCCCCTGTATTCTCAGATTTTTATGTCTTGTGTTGTGTGAAGTGTATCATTCCTTCTCCATCTTATTGTCTCATATTTGTTTTTTTTTTCTTCCTGCCATCTGCTCAGTCATTATGTTACTTTACCTCGTTACCGGTACACCCAGTCCACAGATCACCATCATAGAGATGCCAGGTATATGTTTTCCTCTGTGTGACTCTGTGTGGATCATGCATGTACTTCTATGTACCTACATGTCCACTTCTGCTTTTCTGAGTGTGTGTGTAGTGGTAGAAAACTTGGAAGTGCTGAGTTAATATCAGCATTAGATTTCCTAACATAGTATGTAGACAATCACTGTGTAATTCTTCATATACTTCCCTTTTTAATTTTTTTTCACTGCCAAAGGACTGCAATTGGTAGTACATGAACATGAGACTATCCTAACATTATTCCAATGTGTTTTAAAAAGTCAGTAAATAAGTCAACAAACTGCTAATTCAAATTAGTTCTGCTAAATTCACCGAAGTTCCAGCTGAGTATTCTTCAAGTATTTCTGTTGCTTAAGTTTCTTGCTTTTCATATTGTTTTGTCCTCATTTCACCTTTGTGTTGCTTTTCATTGTGTTCACCCTTTATGTTTTGGCAGCCAGGATCACACAATGTATCCTCTTTTTTGCGAAGATGCAATCAGATTACTTCGCTCCCGTAAGATGTGCCGTACCTATTCTGAGGGTGCTTACTATGATCTTGAGAGGTATAATCGATGTGGAGCATATTGTTAGTTCTACCTCTTGCACTTTGACAGTACTGTGTTTGGTTTCCAAACTAAGGATATGATCTATGTTTTAAGTGACAGATACACACAGTGAAGTTGTTTCATGATATATTTTATGATACTCTGTGAGTATGTATATATTTAAGACTCAGTACTATGGCAGAATTATAATAAAAGCTAAAGAATTTTATAGAAGTCAGTTTCATAAATTAGGTTATATGGTTATTATGTATAAGGGTCTTTGTATAACCCTTACTTTTGCTGGAATTTTTCAAAGCGCTTTTAGTACTTATTATTCTCTTTGAAATAATGAGGAAATACTTATCTACTTCAAAGTACACAGAAATAGAGTCTTTCTGAAATCTCATATTTTGTTTAACTGAAAAATGAAAAATACAGTGAAATATACAAGTACAAGCTTATGTTGTAGATATTTATATAGTGCTTATTCTGTAATTTATGAGTACTTGTATACATTCACTACGACTGTGTGTGATTACAGACAATCAGCATTCCTATTTATATCTAAAAATAATGTAGAGAGAAGTTAAGCCCATAATAATTTCTGTGAAGTAATTATGGTTGAAATACAGTTGCTTTTAAGAGACGAAATACGACATGCTGTTGTTGCACTACAAATGCAAAAAATACTACTGTGATTATGATATTTTCAGCAAATATTGCAAAACAGAAGAAAGACTACATGGTTGTGAATGGATAGGAATAAGGATATAAATCCAATAAACCGTAATCCACTTAAAAGGAAGTGGTGGCTTCGTATCTTAAATAGTAGTTATAAAGGTTGATATGGCCGTTGCTTTGCAAGAGGCTCTATATAAAATTTTTCATGCCAAGCACTAAAGAACTGTTGATATATTAACTTCATAACTTCCATCTGGATATATCTGGATATGAGCTTCTCTGACAATTTCATTAGGGTTTGCTCAGGGTTCAAGGCATATATAACCATTTTTTTGTAGGTGTAAAACTAGCTTTTGATACAGAAGAAAAATAGAGTCTGGAAATCTTACAATATCATAGAATTATTCCTTCTAAAGAAATATTGCTTTGGAAAAATTCTGCAATATATTAGACGTTATAAGCTTTAGAACTCAGTTAACATTTGATTGGAAATGATGCTGTTTTGCATGAAACCTGGTATGAAGTAAGTGCATACTCAATAATTCAGCCCATCTATAAAAACTTTATTAAGGAGAATGATTTTTATTTTGTTTTCTGAAAATATGGAATGAAAATTGCTCATAGTTACACTTTTTCAATAGTTAATCTTTATATACTGCTATGTGCCTTAGTTATATACTGGTATTTGCATTGGTTTATCTGAACCTGTTTCATATTGCTGGCTGTATCTGTGACTGTTCAGATATTACTGATAGTTGCAGCTATTAAATTGTCTTAGTTTGAGAAACATGACTTGCAAATATTCATCTTTGTTTCTACAAAAATTAGTCTATCAAAAAAAATAATAAAGTAAGATCAATGAAAATTAAGGACAAAAGTGATAATAAAGTGTTCAGAAAGATGAAAAAGACAGAATTTAAGCAATGCAATGGAGTAAATCTTTTCCAGGGCTTTGTTTATGAGAAGGCCTATTAAAGTTAATTCCTCTTGGGTCAGAGAGGAAAATCTAAGATGAAATGGCATGTCCTCAGCTCCCTGTTAGAGCAGTATCTTGAGATTCTTGGGTCTAGGAACTGATCCTGGGTCCTCTGCTCCTCTTGAATCCAGGCTCCCTGTGAGTACGTTAGCGTTAAGTTACTCAAGTCATCTTACTGGATATGAGCTGTTCTGAGTAGCTCATGGTTACTATCATTTTTCCTAGTTTTTTGTCCTTTTTGTTTTTCCATTTTCTGCCAGTAGTTCTCTAGGCATTTAAGGACCATTTAAAGCATAACCATTATCCAATTTCTCATTATACATTGCAAAACCCTAAGTAATTTCTTCTTCTTTAAGTTTTGGAAATACATGAAAAAATGCTTCTTAAACAACATTTCCTCATTTATCTTTACACTTTTTTTTTTTTCTATTTATTTTTTTCTGGTTTAGTGCCTTAAAATACATTATTGTTGCAGGTCAAGGTGTTAGTCACATCTTCTTAGTTCCATCTGCTTAATCAATGTCATGTTGATAGAAGCAGCAACCTCTCTTAATGTCTTTTATTTTCACTTTTTAAAGCATGTAGAATAACTATTTCCAGCTTCCGCTATTCATCAAAATTGCACAGATTGTTCTATAATGTCCAGCATTCATGGAAGAATCTTTCATCTGGAACAGAGTTAAATCACTGTAAATCCACCAGTGTGGATGTCCTACAGACAGGACAGATATACATCAGTCAAAATTACTTGTCTTCTTTATTATTCCAGGCTCATTTGGTTGTGTATCTGAAAGTCATTCACAGCCAGCCCATTAACTCTTTTGTTCTCTTCAAGAATTTTGTCTATCAGCTTTGATAATCTTTAGTTCTATACTTCTATGATGAAGTTCCATTATGAAGAACCTGAATTTCTGCATTCATTCTTAGTCTATGGCATTTTGACATTTCTTTTTGTGATAGTTCCCCCTTTTGAAGGGGTCCAGCTATTTCCCTCCCAAAGGACATGGAGGCAATGTTGACAAGACACTTGCTCCAACATATATCTGAGAAAGACAATAGGCACATGTGCAGTGTCAGTGACTACACTGCCATTTGGACACTGGCTTTCTCAAGTACTCCCTGTACCTCTGTACCCCACTCCAGTTTTTCTTGGCTTTTTAATGTGGCAGCACTAGCCGATATCAGTTCACACTGCTAGAGCTACCCAAATTGAACATATATCATATATATATATATATATACATATATATATATATATATAATTGACATCATGGCTGGGCATGTAGTGCTATAATTACATTCTTATTTATATCCCCCAATTCACAGTTTTCTGGATTATTGCAGGCTAGTTCATAATTTGACATTCACCCATTTTAAGTTGTCTGACATAGACATCATCTCAATAACAGAATGATCTCAAGATTTTTATCCAGTTGTTTTTTAAATGAAAATATGCTGTTTTTCTAGGTTTAACAATATTAGTAGTTCCTCCCGAATAAATATCTTCTGAAAGACTCTCATAGCATGAAATTACTTCTCAACTTTTCTATCTCAGAGCTCATCTTAGTCACTGAGGACACCACACTTTGTGCTATTTTCATTTTTTTCATTTACCAAATGAGGTTTAAGTTCGGAAGACAGTAAAAGGTGACTTCTGCACATTTTGTGTAAAATGTGCAGTTTATTTCAATCTGCAAATTTCTTTTGCTTCACTTAAAGAAACAAACTTCTGCTCCTATTCTGTTCTTTGGCTTTCATTTTACCAGTCAGAAATTTTGCAGACTCCATATCCTATTCTCGGTGAAATTCCCTGGTTGCTTAAATTCTGTTTTCCTGTTGATGTAACTTTTCACTCCTGAATTGTATCTGAATATAATTAGAAAGTAGAAGTTTAAAATTTCTTAGTTATGAAAATATATGTTCAGAAGATACTGCTGAACATGTAGTAGATAAATGTGTTCTGTGTTCATTGCTATCTTAAAAATACAGTGAGAGAAAGTGCATCATAAAAGAAACAACCTTTAAAATGTCTGAAATACCTGTGCTGTTTATTCCATATTCAGGAGGACTAGGCATGAGAGAAGAGTGCCTAATACATATTATGATGACACAACCTATACTCCTGAAAGGTATTTTTATTTCTATCATAAAAATAGATAAAGATGAGTAATGCATTTTTCCTGAAGTGTAGTCTAAAATTTTTAATTCATCTAGAGTGATGATACTTAAGTTTATAGTGCACCATGTGCAACATTTTATTAAATACAGACCAACTAATCTCCAGAGCTTTAAGTACTTCATTTTCTTTTAGCCCTTTATTGCCTTCACTCTGGAGCTTTTTTTAAGGGTATCTCTTATTCAAAAAAATAATAAAAAAAAAAGTTCATTGGAAGATGTGGGAGGAAAACTGATTAGTGCATAGCAGTTAGGTATAACTGAAGGCTTTTCCCCACTTAACTTACTTCTAATGGCTAACATTATCAGTCACAGAGAGTGATTATAGGAAAATTTAGAATCGTCAATTTAATTCTTTTAATATCTTACGTGACTTAAGAAAGTCCTCAGCTTTTGACATGTTAATGCCCATACTGACTTAAAAATGACTGAAAGTCTTCAACCTGATTCTGAGTGCTTGCTGTGCTGGAGCCAAAAGCACTATTGTTCTTCCTAAATTTTTATAGGCATATAGTGAATCACAGTGAACATAACTAAAATCTGAAGTGTAATCTGAAAGCTTTCAGAGTATCTCTGGAAGTAGTTATTTGATAATAACATTTCATGTTTAAAGAGAGACACAAAGTTCAAAAAGAAAGATATCCAAAGAAAGAAGCAAGTTTACATTCCTATCCCTTTATACAATTAGACCTTTACATTTCTTTGTCTGTTTTTAAAGCAATATCTGTTGTCCGTATACAGTATGCGAACAGGTAAAGCAAGAATTATTTACTAATAGCAAGAATTTTATTTTTCTGCTATGAATAAGCAGTCATATTCAACAAAAACTAAACTGCAGTTTTAAAGCCAGTCTTGTTTATTTATGGTGCCTATAACAAAGCACTTTTTCAGAAGAAGCTTACCTAAATACTGGCTAACTGGAAACACTGGCGTCAGTTTTAAGGATACATACAAGCAGGGCAAGTGTAAAGATACACCTGTCCTTCTCCCTCTGTATTCTAATTAAGACTAAACTAAATCTAAATCTAATCTAAGTTAAATTATACCAAAATATCTTTCATCCAGTCAGTGATTCTGGCTACAAAGTATGCCAAAAATGTCATTACTAGTGCCAATCCAATTTGATATAGAAGAAACAAGAGCAGCTGAGCAACACTCACATATGCTGCACCCCATACTGTTTTCCCTCAATGTAATGACCAGGAAGATTGAGATCATGTAGTTTGTGAATATATCTCAAAAATTCAGATTCTGAAACCTGAGAAGTTAGCAAAAAATGGAGTTATGCAAGAAATCCATCATGTATTGTGCTATGGTTCCTGGAAAACAACAATCATTAAAACCCTCTGATATATATTCAATATTCAAGCCATTAAACAGTTCGACCTGCAGAGTTTGGCTGGGACTTTCAGTACAGACAAAGGAAGACTTATATTCAAGTTGGGCACACCTTGATCCCTTGATCTTTTCTGAAAATCTCTGCCTTGCTTCTCACCCATTGTCATGTGGAAATCATTGAGTAGGACGACTGCAGTTCCAATGCTATACCCAAGCAGGACATTGAAAATCTGGAACTCCAGATACCCAGTTGAAGCTCCTTGACCAAATAATAGATGGTTTGCATATATTCTTAACATACTGGGATAAAGCTGCCAAAACAGATTATCCTTTGGTGTCTGAAATCAAAGCATCATTTTTGTCCCATTGTTTCTTTTCTCCATGGCTCTACTTTCAGATAAAATGTTTCTACATGTGTTTTGATGTTATCTTCAATTTATTTGTTGAAACACTGCTGCAAATGTTTAGGTAGCCCATATTTAATACCTGGAAGAACAATATAGGTATAAAATTTAATTGGTTTTCATTGATCTGAGTGAAGTGAGTTTTCTTCTGCTTCTTAACCATATAAAACAAGCAAATAGAAAAATGAATAAATTAGAAAAAGTTAGGCATGTGGAGTTAAAAGCAGTATTTTACTACATTGTATTTTTGATTTTAGTATTTTGCTTCTCAGAATGTTATTTTTGTGAATGGTAAATCTCCACAATTACTTCTTAATACTCCAAAAATTCAATAGCCATTGAAAACCTGAAGATTTTTGTGTAAGAAAATATTAGGGATCAGTTAGGCTTTATGGAACTGAAATTCATAGCTAAACTGCTGAAAAGAATCAAGGTAAAATATAATAAGAATTCTGTCAAGAAAAATAAAAAATAGAGTGCTTGTTTTTTAATTTAAAAAGATTTGATTTTCTTCATACCTAAGAGAAAGTAGGAAATGTACAAAGTGATTTGGAAACTGTTGGAAAGCTTCCCATTTTATTGAGAAGTGATCGTGTCATATGAATTAGACTGTTATTAATAATACATATGTTTCTTTATAACACTTCTTTATTTTAACTGCATTGTAAAGGTGGTACAATGGTGCAAGTTCATGGGCAGATCATGTAGTCAATGGTTCAGCTGAAAATTATGGGTAAGTAAAGAGTGTAGTGTTGCAGATGTAGCTAAAATGTATTTCTGATCTTTATAATAAGAATTCGTTTATTATTGTACTAAATTTATTCCGAATAAGTACATTTTTTCTTTATCTCTTGCTTTCTTGACTCAGAACCAAGGCACATTTATGTCTTTTTTTTTTTTTTTTCCAAGATTAAGCTGTTTTATTCAGTTACAGATAGAAAAAGAACATTAATTATGTTTGAACTATTTTTAAAATATGTTCTCACTGTTAAGGGCTGCTTTAATGAAAAAGGGCTTTTTAAGTGATAATACCTGCCTACATTCACGCTGCTGGGGCATGTGCCTTTGAGACCTAATTCTTTTTAGATTTAGAAAAGTCCTAGCTCCAACTGTCTAACCTATCTCCCCATGTGATTGATGTATCACCCATGTAAAGCACTGTGTACATTAAACTCTTCAGTTCTTCCCACCTGTACTTGGCTCCTGATCAAAGGAACACACAGATTTTCCTTACAGAAACTTTTGCTATTAGTTTGACTTCACTGCTTCTCCCTCATTTTCTTCTAGCTCTTGCAACATTTATCTTTATTTTTACTTGTTTCCTTTGTGAATATGCGCAGAGCTTGCTTTCTTCTGCCTTTCTATGTCTTCTAAATAGGAGGTGGACTATGCCAGTGACATATTTTGGCTGACTAAAACTAACATATGGTATGGGTCCAAGTTGCTGATAAATCCTTAAGTTCTTGAGTTAAGCTCCCACTGATTTGCTGGGAATTTTTCTTTGATAAAGTCTAATAAGAGTTACAAAACTGTATCTAAAAAATATTTGTTATGTAATTAATTGTGTAATTATACAAAATAATTCTGTGCATGGGTATCTCAAAAGCTATAATTTTGTGCAAACAAATTATAACGTAAACTCTCCATGAATATTGAACTAGTTCTTTGCATTGGTTTATTTTTTACTTATCCCTAAGTTTAATGTTGACCCTACTTTGAATTTTAGGATGCTATTTATTCTTTTGTGGCTGTACAAATGAATATATATATCTTTGCAGGTACAGTCATGTGCCTGAAACAGATAATTGGAAGACTGTAGGGTACTCAGTTGTATAAAACAGCTTTATACTGAAAACAGAATTACCTAAGGGGTTACTGACAGTTCACCTGTAGTCCTAATGCTATTTAAAGAAAATTGTAATTCATATTTGTCCAATATATGTTGACTAATTCCTATAAAAGGAATTCAGACAGTAAAGGAGAATGTGACTTTGTTGACTTGAAACTAAGTAAAGTGGCATAAGACATTTTCATGAAAATTTCTCTGCTTTCTGGATGAGTTTATAAGGGTCTTTTGGCTTAACATCAGTGCAGCCATAAAGACAATTGGAACAATATTTCTTTACTAGCTCTTTGAGGCAGAGTTCCACTGATTGCTGACTCTTCAAGTGTTTTCAGTAAATGCTTTTTTTGTGCCACCAGCAAGGGTTGTGTGTAGTTCTTCCTGGGAAAGTGCACAAGCATACTGAAAATGGAGAACATTTGAAGAAGGCTGAAAACTGCTTAGTGTAAACAAGGCTTTTGTATTTGCTTGTGATAATCGCATTAAAATAGTTTTAGCTTACTTCACTTGTCTTAGATTTAGTACAGTATACATCCTGACATAGGTAAGTATCTGAGAAAAAATCAGATTTGTAACATGAAAAAAGAACTTATTTTTAGTACTCTGTCCCAATTTAAATTTATCTCCAAAAGCTGTGCAAAAAGAAAGAAAGGATAAGAACATTTGTTGCAAATCAGTATGACTTTTAAGTACACTGTAAGGCATAGAACATACTTTAATAGAATAAGGACTACTGAAATGGATCAGGTTCTGTTCATATCAGTAGATTTACTGAACACCTTTAATGGTAACAGTGTGATATTTTGCTCTTTCATGATTTAAGAGCTTTAAAGATAACAAAGAATTACATAACTGCTTATCTTGGAATGATCTGATTGAAATCCTGTTCTTCTCATCAAGTGACAAAACTCTTGTTGTCTTGTTGACATTGAGGTCAGAGTCACAGGTATACAGCAAGAGGTTAAGAAAAATAAACATGGATATGCACTATTAAGCGTAGTTTGAGATATTTTATTAATTAAATGTCTGCCACATTATTGACCTTCTAAAATGTTAACTTAAAAAAAAAAAGAGACCAACTACAACTTGTACAACTCAAGTTTGAATTAAGACATGAAAAAAACAAACACAAACTACCAAGGACAAGTGCTTTGCAAATTTGGTATTTAGTCCTGCACAGTACGAGGGCATATTTAGGTACACGCTTGATTTTGAGCCTACATCTAATTCACATAATTAGTCTATAGTCTAAGTGCTCTCTCTGCATTTGAACATTCAAGCCTTAGTGGGAAATGCTGCTCTATGAGTTGTCTTATATACCACTTACTCTTCAGTCATGAACAATATGTTCATCAGAACCCTTGTGTGTTTGTGTCACTCTTCATACATTATGATCACACGTTCAAGTTGAGTGGGTGAAATTTTGTATTCCAAAATGGGGAAAAACTGTGTAAGAAGTTAAAAAGCTGGAACAGTTGTACTTAGGAATATTTCTAATATTTTAATTAAAATTTAGATGGTTATCCTAGAGGGAGTCACATAAGTATATTCAGACTTGAGCTGGGCAGGAACTGGGGAGAAAGAAGATTTCATTTCTCTCTGAGAATTTTGTGTTTCCAGCTTTTGAATGTTTATCATAATCTTCAGTGAATCATCTTAGGAAGATGCAGATATCTGTTCCTGCCATGGGATTATTTAATTTGTGTCAACTGAGTGTTTTTGTTAAAGATGCTAACAGTTAGAAATAGTTAGTAAAAGACAAAAGTACTATAAAAGGAAACTGGCTGTATAGGTGAGAATGTATTTTATAAGTACCAAGACACAATTGTGTAAAACCAAACATTTAACATATTATAGCATAATTCTACTTAAATGTCTCAGACTTTTAAATTAAAATTGAAAGAACACCTCCATACATTTCATATTTTAAGTACAGAATAAAAATATGATTATATATTAATATGAGAAATTTAACAGGTCAAGCCAAATAAATCAGTAAGATATGAGGAGACATAAATGTTGCTTGCATTCTTTGGTCCACCTTAGTGTGAGGAAATTCTAAACTTAAAGGCTCCTTTTTTGAGAAATTACCTTTAAGTAAAATACTGGAAACCGATTCTTAAACTACTGGAAGTTAACTGGTTAAGTTAAACTACTGTTACTAGCTCATTTGCAGTACTTTCTGACGTTTTAATGCAGATACATATAGCATCTGTGACAACTGGTTTTGTTGGTATTTGATTGTAATAGGTAGCATAACTCTCTGGCTGCATCCACAGAATCATAAAGTAATTTGGGTTGGAAGTGACCTCTTAAAAACAATGTGGCTAACTCTCTACAGAAAGGCCTTTGCTATTTGTCAGTAAACTACCGTAAAATCTGTGGATGAGAAGATGCATCACAGAGAGTAAATCTCTATAGATGTAGCTGCATGTGCTTTCTTTAAGCATTTTAGCAATTGCATCATGCTATCACGTTAGTATGATTAACTATGTCTACAACAGAATCACTAACGTGACTGCAGTGCCATATACAGATACCTAAGCAAGCTGTAAGCAACTGAGTTTCTGTAGCGGTAGCTGCCTGCACGTAGCAGTGTGGAGCACAGCGTGCCTGGGATCACAGCCGAGTTCTCCGCTCTGTCTGCATAGCTGCATTAGCTGTTAGAAAAGTAGCTCAGATAATGGCATGCTACAGTGTAGTCATTCCTGTGACTGTCAAGTAATTTGTAGTTATATAAACCGCAGTGTGGTGTGTGTGTGAATGTCTGCATGTGTGTGTATATATGGATATATAAATATGGTTGAATGTTACTGCAGCTTGCTTTACCTTCTGCTTTTGTTTATTTTGTGAGAATATTTAAAAACATTACACGTCTGGCTTTTACAAACTATAGCACACATAATTTTATATTAAGTTCCTTTGTAGGTATGGATGATTGATTTGGTGAGGCTAACCAGTCACTAATTTATCTCAGTATTTTGGCAGTGTACTCCCATTTTCCATTACAGTACTTGTGACTCAAATTTAAATTTGCTCTTGGTACTAGAAATCTCAGTTGTTTGTAGACATGCTTATTTATGTTATGCTAACAGAGGATCTTGTGTCTGTGACTAAACAGCAAAGTTCCTATAGCTAGTAGAAGAATAACATGTCCAAGGATTGAAATCCAGCAACCATCCACAGACACTGACAGGTATTACCATTATATATTAGCTGGAGTTTGAAATTATGATCATTAGAAAATGTATTGCTGTATTTTTCTTGTTCTGTGCTCAGTGTTTCTAGATGAAAAAAAAGATGTGCTAGGAGCTGAATTATAGTGTATTGTAATTCTACAACAATTCTATTTTTATTTCTTCAGCTTTTTGTTACAAGAACAACCTAGTACTTATAAAATTTTGATTGGCATGATCTCATAGTGTACTTTTTTAGTCTTGAACACAGTAAAAAGGTGTTTTACATGGGATTTCAAATAAACTTTCAGTTATTTGGGGGAAAAAAAGAAAGTATTTGTGTTGTAAGCTCTTATGATTGCTTAGTATGGAAAAATATTAATCTTTTGTAAGGCTTTTTCTGTACATGAGTCTAGATCAATGAATGCATTCATTTGTTGAAAATTCTCCTTTTTACTTGTTAATAGAAGTAACAAATCTGAAAAATTAAAAATCAGAAGTGGTTACTTTCTGCATTGGGAAAAGAATTATATTTTGCAATTTCCAGAATATGAGTGTAGAACAATGCAGATTAATCAGTAGTTAGTAGTTAGTATTAAATGTTGTAGCATCTTTGGTTAGATATTTTAGTTACAAGAATTTACAGTGCTACCTAAATATAGTTGGAATTCTAATTCTAGTTTGGATGGGTTTGGACTATAAAATTTAAATTTAAATACAGAGCTTTTCAGCATGGTGTCTTACAGAGAGCTCAAACAGTTTCAAAGTGATAGATGTGCTTGATTAAAAAGTAGACCCTGCTCTGCTCTTTCATTGTTGTGAGAGTTATGCCCACAAGTCTTGTAGATTTTGACAGAAGAGTTGGCCCCCTACCATGCATGATTTCCTTAGCAAAGGTAGAAAGGATGTTATGTTAGACAATGCTAAAGAGGAAGAGGTCACTATCATGAACTTTATTTTTTATAATGAGTCTGTTGGCAAAGATAAAAAGCTGTCACATATATTAAAATATTTTGTAGTTGTTGAATATCTTTTATCTTTTCCTCTTTAAAAATCAGTAATTCATATTTTATGACCAGAGTCAGCCATTTTATGTCCTGTAGTCAGACTAGAGGAAAGTTTTATCTAGATAACTTGGGACCATAAGCACTCCAGAATGTTACCTGAAGTCATGAACATCTGTTTTTCATTCATTGAGATGTCTTAAAAACTCTCTCTCCATGCCTGTAGTTTAACTGTAGTGTTAATATGTTGTTGTGTATTGTGGTAGATGAGGAGCAATAACTGTCCAAGCTGGTTATTGGAGTGGTATTTTTTCTGTAAAAGGGACAGTTCTTCTCTGAAGACCTGGGTCTTAAAGCACATTTCTACTGTGAAAATGATTTTAAAAAGTTAGGACAAAGAATATTCCTGTTTCACTCTAGACTATAATGTGTCTATTGAATTGTTCTCTGTATGTGTATGGTCAAAAAACAAAGTGATGTTCTCAAGTGGAAGGCTGTCACGCTTTTATAGCTCTCCATTTGCTACTGTGGGTATGGAGAGGTTTGCATTTCGTAAACCTATAATGTGAGGGTAACACCTCATCTGAACCTCAAGATTACGCTTACTCTTCAAATCCTTTGATCTACAAAAGCAACAGTGGTGCCAAAGTTTGATCTAAGAGGAAAAGGTTCACTGCCAAAATCTGTGTTCTCTTTCCCTTCTGGCAACTCCCAGTTGTTTTTCTACCTGAAGTAAATGCCAGCTGCAGATTGCAGCAAATTGACTACTTATATTAACTATCAAATATGAAATTTCTGAGGTCTTTGCCTGTTAGCACAGAGGTTTGATACCGTGGCCCGCCCCATGATGCTCTCCAGAATACAAACAACCCCACTAAGTCATTAGTATTGGCCCTAATGGTAAAAATGACTTCCTGCCTTCTGAAAGAGGCAATGAGTCAGATCCCTGATATCCTAAAAACTATTTCTTATTAACATCTAAAGAGAGCGAAGCCTTAGGAGTAACAAATGAAAGAGGCTTAATTTCTCGTGAAGTGTTTGCATGAGTCGTGGTTGCTACTCACCTGTTCCTCTCTGTGTCCTACCTGCTGTTGGGACAGGGAGAGAAATAGAAAATGGAATGAAACCTACTTTTGGTGGGAGACCAAAAGGAGAAAATAAATCTTTGTCAGCTCACTGATTTTCTAACATGTGGGTACACAAAATAGGGGTGGGCTGTCTGGACCTTGGCCATATTCTGTAATTATGCTGAATTCAGGAATTGTTTTTCTTAGAATTTATTCCCATAGTCAAAAAGTTATGTTTTTTTAACCACCATGCAGATGGGTGACAGCTTTCTCACCTTCTGTAGCACTAAAAACCGTCTTAAACAGTTACCTTAAACTAAGCAACTTTCATATCAAAGCTAAGGTTGTGTTTCTTTATTTGCCCACAATGTAAAAGAAGCGAGACAGTGGATGTTTTTGCTGATGAAGCATCATACTCAGAATCAGAACTGATAGAAGAAGAAGTGAGGTAATTTTTTTGTGGTTTTGTGCCAGGCTCATTGTACTTTTCCTCTGATCTTTTAGTGCCTGAGCTTACAGTTGCCGTTATGTTTCTCAGTGTGGTGTGTGTGCTTTGTTAGGAGCTTCTAGATGTAGGTTCTTGGTGAATGGTATTATTCTGAACCTGTCTGTGGCCATTCCTTGTTGCTCGCAAGGAATCCAGCTGTTACCTCATGGAAGGCACAAGGAGACATTTGTTTTAATGAATACATGTATTGACCCATTCAGCAAAGTTTGCCATCCTAGAGAAAACTATATTCCTCCTCAATGTAGTCTTAGAAAAAAAATGTTGTTAATGACATAAGACTCTTCATACATAATGAGGCTGTGGTGTGTCTCTCTCTCATTTTTGATACTAATTGAAGTATGAATTCTTGTTACACGTAATCACCATCCAGTCACTCTTTGTATTAACAGACTTCATTGTAAAAAGGATGTCTGAGCTGAATAAAAAAAACTAACAGTTCACCATGTGTACTCTGTTGCTGTTCAGTTACTCTTGTAGAACTGGAAGGAGTATGAATTTAATAAGCAGCTTCATCAGGATATAGATTTTACTTTTAAAATTACCTTGATTTTACATATTTTATCATATTGCTAGCCATTATTACTCCTTGCAAATAGAAAAATTACACTGTGAAGAGGTTAGGCTTGATTAATTTCCGAAAGTAATGACGTGATTAATTGCCTGTGATAGCAGAAGGCCCGACCAGTTGATGCAGAAATTCCTTTTTTTGTTCAGTCTACTTTCTTCCTGTTGCATCTGTTGCTGACTTTTTTCATTGCTGTTTTGACACTATTCTTTAGACTGAGGGTTAAATATTTTTTTTCTTTAACTTGTTTTTGATTATAACCCAAAATTTCTGTAGTTGGAGGAACCTCTGAAAGGACTAATGGTATTGTAGATCCTCATCTGACTGTATTCCAAGTACTGCATATAAATCCATCACTATGGCCTAGCCAATATTTTAACAGATGTCCTGAGAATAGTAATGCAGTTAACAGTGCTACATATTAATTACAATGTCTGGAATGTGACCAAATTTGCTTTGGACTTTCCTACAAACAATTATTAAAGAGTGCTACCTCTGAAGGTAATGGAGTCTGTAAAAATCTATTGATGTGAGTAAAAACGCTCAATTAAAATGCTCAATTAAACAACTCCTTAGCATCAGTGAGACTTAATATTATGCCAGCTATTTTTTTCCTCCAAGGTTGATGTATTATTAAACAGAAAAACAATATTTTTACCCAGAAATTGTCAGGAAACAGACTATTGCATAGATAGTCATTACTGTGACATTGGAAACATTTCAGCCCATTTATCAAGAATTTGAGCAAGCCAATGCATACATGTTTAAAAAAACTGTATGTTATCAAGAAGCGAACTCAGAAAATTTGCCAAAGAAAATGTAGATAACAAAATTATTTTCTCCAAACCAGTATCATGCAGCATATTTTATAATTAATAGAAAAGTCAACTGAGCTGCTTTTTGACTAACATTACAGGAATTGTGAAGCAGCAGATAGACAGCCATATCAAAGATCCAGATCAACAGAGCAACGGCCTATGCTAGAGCGGACCAACTCCCGCTCCCGATCCACAGAGCGTCCTGACTCAAACCTCATCAGGTCGATGCCTTCATTAATGACTGGAAGATCTGCCCCTCCTTCACCTGCCTTACCGAGGTGAAACAGACAAATCAATCAGACTAATCCCCTTCTGCCCCACCAGCTCACCATTTTATTTTCCCAGTAGCTAATTGGTATTGCCTCTCATCCTTAGCTGATCACTAGTAGCTCTAGATACTAACCCTGTCAGTGCCAACACACTATTTATATTCTATTCTGGATATAATGGTGTGGCTGCCATTGTAAATTGTTTACTAACAGTATTTAACTACATTTGTTTGTGTGATTTCTCATTGATCAGGAATCCTGGATAGTTTCCTACATGAAACACCTCATAATTATCATAATTTTCTCTTACAGAATGAGAAATTATTTGTGTTCATCAGACATCGCTTATGGAACAACCATCATAACATCAAATGAAACTATTTTTTTTATAAAAATGTTTCTTCAAATGAACTGTATTAACTTTGTGTTTTAACTACCATTTTAACCATCATTTTTTCTGACTACATTTTACTGTGCCATAGTCTGTATTGTTCCTGTTTGAATACTTTACCTTTACCAATTGACACTTTGCAGATGTCTATACATTACTCTGAGGGTAAACATAATTCAGTAAAAAGATGAGTACATTTTGGTCTAGGAGACAGATACTCAGTAAGCCTCTCCTTATTTTAGAGCTGCAGAATACATTCTTAATACATTCTTTTGCTTTCTGAAAGTGAGAGATAGTAACATCAAATCCCCAGTGAGATGTAGAGTCAAATCCCAGTGTCTTTGCTCAGTTTATTACTTATTTTGTTTATTCAAATTCCTGTAATCTCTTTGCCACTCAATGGGAATTTAACCAAATACAAACTGAGGAAAGATTATTGAATTTGGTCTGTGGATAATTGTATGTGCATGCAGGTATTTTTTCCATGAGCACATGAATGTACATACAATACATTTTCTGGCCTGACTGTGCAAACAAGCAGCTTATGGGTGTTTAGCCTTAGTTTGGTTTGTTTTTGTCTTTTTTTCTTTTCAGGGAGAGATTTCTCTTTTCAATCTTTTTTTTTTTTTTTAATTATTATTATTATTATTTTTATTTATTTTTTTATTTTAATGAAAAGAGTTAATAGTTTCACCGTGGGACAGCAAGGGTCCCAAGTGATCTAAAACCTAATTAGTACTTTTATCAGTTCATGAACGTATTTAAGGATGAATTTGCCATTTAATTGCTATGGTTTGTTTTGATATGTGTCTCATAGGTCACATCCTCGAACTGGGTCTGTTCAGACAAGTCCATCAAGTACTCCAGTAGTAGGGCGAAGGGGCAGGCAGTTACCACAGCTCCCACCAAAAGGGACGTTGGAGAGAAGTAAGTGTATGTTTTTCTCCTTAATGACATTGCAAAATTGCTCATGGCGGTCAAGTTCTTATTTTCCTTTGGTCATTACATTTGAAAGCTCTTGAGTTTCTGTGTACAGAACTAGGATTTGATAGTAGTATTGTATTTTGTACTGTATTTCCTTTTATTATATTTTAACATCTACAAGATTCTTGACTGAAATGAAGCATCAACATTACAATAGTCATCAACAATATGAACCAAGATGGACTAACTATTAGCACGATCCTGTTCCTTTTGAACTCAAGAGATGTTTTGTCACTGACTTCAACAGGCACAGGAAATGATCTTTTATATATTGTTTAGTGAGAAAACTCTTGCTCTTTTGGGAATTAGGAACATAGTTGATCACTTGGGGACTCACATGGAGTGTGTTACAGAGTACCAATGTAAAACCTCTTCACTTTGAAACAGGAAGAGCAAGAAAATAGGTAATAATCTTTAAAATAGGGAAGGCCAGCAAGATGGTTCATGATTTGTGTTTTATTGATGCAGTAATTGTGCTGATCTTTAATGTCTCATAAAAGCACTGGTCAATACATAAAAGCATCTTCCAAAATGTTTAGAAACAGAGGACTATAGACATGTTTTTGATAGCAAATGCATTTTCACCCTTTCACATCTGATAACTAGATGTGCTGTGCAAATTCAGTCTAAATGGACATACATTCAAATACACTCGTGTTTTTTTTTTCTTCTTCTTTTTTTTTTTTTTCAAATCCTTCTAAACATGTATATTGTATCTTTTATAAAACTTACGTTGTTTTTAACCCCTGTGCTTTGGTTCCCTTTTTTTTGTTTCTTTTTTGTTTTTTTTATTACTTTCCCTAGACAATGGAGACAAGGAGATAGAACCTTTTGAAGGTCTGTACATAAAGGAGGGTTTGTTTTTCACCTGAAAGCCTTTTTAAGAGGTTATATAGGGAAAAATAAACCCAACTGCAATTGATGTTACTTGATTGCATAGACATAGCCAGAAACACTGTGATAATTATTTAGTCTTTTTTGTATTCAGACCTATGGCTCATAAATTTTACAGGATTCTCCATGAAAAAAGATAATAAATAATATTATCTAAATACAATCATCATTAAAAGGTACCTAGATATATACCTATTTTTAAATACTAAGGATTTACAATGCAGCAAATAAGAGTATTTCAAGTTCTATTGAAGCGAGCTAACCTACATATGTATTTATCTTTTCAGGATTAGCACTTCAGGTACTTCAGGAAATTTAAGCATTTGAGGCTATTTGACATATTTGATATTAACCACGCATTGAGTCAGAACTATGGTTTTTATTGCAAATGTGTTTTTTTACAGTAGCTGAATTACTTGGTATTTTTTAAAGAATATAGGCGCAAAAAATAATTGAATCAAGATAGTCTTTCAAAAAAGTGATAATACTTTCAATTAAAATTAAATCCCTTTCTATTTTGTACAATTGAAGCCATTTAATTTGCTTAACAAGCCATAAGATATCAATTGCAGTCCTTTGTTATACCACTGAGGGTCTATATGTAGTATAACTGTATTTGTTTCATCAGACTTTAATTTAGTATTTGAAATGTTTATGGTGCTTATTTCCATTTTGGAAGCAAAACTTCATGACAAGAAAACTCTGTTTTCTCAGATCATCACCTAGTATATTCATTTCTCCGTCGTCTTATGTGCTGTGAAATGCTTATATGAAATACAATCCAGGTGTGTGAGGAAATAATCACATCTAATCACCTGATGTTTGCTGTCATTGCTATATACACTTTCATGATTTACCACTTTTCCTTGCACCTTGCTTAGCATATCTATGTAGACTGTGAGCTCTCTGGGGCAGCAATTTGAAGTACTGAATCTTTTTACTGTTTGATTGGAGAGGGTAGCAGTCTTACTTACATCGTAGGTTCCATAGTGAGAAAAATAGTAAATACAATAAAATAATTATTTTTATAGGGTTACTAGAATTGTTTGCTCTGGTAAGTACTGCTGAAACTCTGTTTTTACTTGAAGACTAAGTAATATTTTCCTGTAATTCTGTCTAAAGCGGTCTTTTTGGAAAATCTGGGCTTTGGAAAACTGTGAAATCCACAGATACTGGAGTTTTCATCAAAGTGTCATCAGAGACTCAAGCCACAGTACCTAGACAAATTTCGTATTGAATTTTGCAAGTATAAAGGCGGAAAATACTGTAGTTAAAAATTCAATCTATAGTTATCCAGCTATCACACAGTATTCTATGTAATTTTCTATCATGAATTAAGAGCTCATATTAAGAGCTAATTGCAATCTAATTCTATTTTGAGGCTTTTTCTATTCTTTTTTAGGATTTTCTAATCCTTTTCTTGAAGGGAAGTAGTCAATTTCTTTAAAAGGAATAACCCTGTACAAGAACAGCAGATTACCTAACTCATGGCAAAGGCAGAATATAATTATGATTAATAGTAATTTTTGACTCTGGAGAATTGCATTTTACAAAAAGTTATTTTCAGCAATTGAAGTGCCAGTAATAAAAACTGAAATCTAGTAGAATCAAAAACACTGACTATAGTTGTATGGGTGGACTTATGTTATTATTTAGCAAATAAATCAGCAAGTAAACTGGAAAACTTTGTAGACATTTGAGTAGATTTTTATGTGTTATTATAAGACCTGTTGGTATTCAAAAGAGATGCCTCAATAAGGGAAGGTTGTATGACTGTACTGGAAAATGCCATTGTCTTGGAGAAGTAGTCCTTTCTGTTCCCATAGATGCATATAGTTGACTTAAATGAGAAGAGATTTTATATTGCATGGAAACACACAGTGAAGGCTAGCTTTTCTGTAATTTGAAATCAAGGATTCTGTGACTAGATAAAGTTAAACTTATACTGATTAAAGGAATTAATTAAATGTATGTTGTAGATAAACAGGAGTTAGAAGGCTTGTGAGTCTTGTAGAAGAAAAAGAAAAACCTCTGTAACTCCTACAGTATCCACATTTAATTTGTATAAATTTGAATAATCTATTGCAAGGTGGCCATTGCATAATGTTTCTTAAAATGTAGTGCAAATGCCGGTACTCAGGTAGGAAGAAGGGAGCTATTTGCAATTTTGTTCTTGTGCAGCACTCAGTATAAGGTGGAATATGCCTTGCTTACATTTATGTGATTAGAACTGGAAGGGAAGGAATCTACAGGAGAAAACACTGTGGGTAACTGCTTTACTGATTAGGATCAGCATTAAAAGAAATTGGCCTGAGATTTAGTTCAGTGAACTGTGTTATGTGGTTGTAGATTCTTGTTCCAAGAATCTTTTAGATTCTAAACTCCAGAACAGCCACAGAAGTTTGTTTTTATGGAATTTATCTGAGTAGCTATGAACAACCATTCCTAACGGTAGAACACTGACATATCTGCCTTCTTCTCAATCCCCCACATACTCAGCAGGAGAGCATCCAGATATGACTAGCTATGTTGCATTCGCAATCCTTTATGGTCATGAAACTTTGCTTAATTCCTTAGCTTCCTGCAGCTGCATTGCTTCAAGTATCAGATTTACCTGTTCAGTGAGACTGGGTATCTCTGAAATGTACATTATTATCTTACCTAGCTAGAATGTTCCATGAGCATCTAGGTAATTTTACTTTTGCTTGTAACTTCTTCATGTAGTATATTTTCAGTTAGATGAATGGAAAATTGTTCTGGTCTGGGACAACTCTTAAGGTTTAACCAGATTTCCACTAACAACATGCCACAGGACGTTAGCTGAACTTATGCTCATTTTTAAGTTATGATAGAGCTACATGTATCTTGTTTATAATCAACATTTGTAGAAAAACAAGAGTATTAAATAGTACCTGGTTTTAGCATTTAAATTGGTATATGCCTCTTAAAGGTTCTGTGTTATCCATACTATAGACCATAAATGAATACTGGGATATTTATAACTCTGTAAGAATTAGCAAGACCTTTTTCCCCCTGTTTGTTTCTATATTATATTCCTTCGTTCTTCCTCATCTTGGTAGAAGGGTGAACTCAAGGAGTGCTTGCTGCTAGTTAAAATAGAACACTATAAAGTGGTCTTGAAAATATTCAGTATTAACCCTTTTGATTTACTGTTAATTACTAACCAAAGAGGGAGTATTTTTTCCTAACAGAGATTTTTCCTTCTACTTCTTAAGAATAAATATAGCTCTTCTTCATCCCTACCAAAACAAAACAAAACAAACAAACAAAAAAAAACACACAAGAACACACCATTCATCCAACCAAAAACCTAGAAGTTTGTCAGGCCAAACAACTGCCATAAAACCTTAAAGTATAAAAATGAAGTGCTGAGAAATTCAGCTGATAGTAGAGCTCAGCCAGAATTTGCCCTTCTATTTATGCTCGGTGGTACAGACTATAATTACATGATCTCATAATAATCTGGTGTTATGAGGAAGTTATTTCAGAGACCATTAAAGCTGACATTAATACTGATTAACTGTCCTCTCTTAATTTCAGGTATGGGTGGTCTTATTCCAGAATAAAATTATCTACAAATGGAATTAACAGGGGTAGTTGATTAGCTTTAATCAGGGATAGCTGTCAGCCATAACTCCATTTTTTTTTCCTCTCACTCAGACAGAGTTTCAAGGCTTTAAATGAAAATAGCTATACTATCAACTGCATTGTCACAAGTCAGGCAGAATGCAATGTGAGTTACTGAGATACTCTGATGGTTAGGAAAACACAGCTACTATTTACTGTTTTGTCTCATTCAGAGCATAATTTCCCACTCAATGAACATAATTTTGCAACATAAGAAGGAATTTTATTCTGTATTTTTCAGCACCCTAACGTAGCTTGATGGGATGTAGAGAAAGATTATTGTAATGAAGTTGCAGAAAACCTCTATCTACACTGGTCACACTTCTATCATATTCTGTCAGCTGCGCTTTCACAGGTTTTTAAAAATATATGGCATACTGGTAGTTTGCGTTGTAGAACATGATTGATCACATATGCATCATACTGGATAGGAACTTGGACTAACTTAAGCTTGGCTGGGAACTTGTAGTCAATCAGCAGAATTCAAAAACCACAGATATAAATATTTGCACCCATCTTTTTGTGCATACATTTCTGTGGTACCACAGTATGTCTTCTGATAATGCAGGAATACCTCTTTTTAATTTTTTAAATTTTTTTTAAATTTTTTATTTCCGCTAGGAATTTGCAAAAATTCACCTTTGGACCTTTGGGTTTTACTTGTGGATGCTTAGTTCAATCTCCTGAGAGGCAGTAGAGTTCAGCCCCTAATTATTCTGAGGACTTTTCAAATATTTTATTTGCATTAGTACAGTTTCACTGAAAAACTTGAAGAAATGTTACCCATAACACAGGGCTTACTTGAAAGGTTCGTACCTTTCAGAGGAAGTAATGGTTCATAGTATTCTCGTGTATTGGCAAAAGGAGGAATTAAAAACCTGTCTCTTCTTGCCATTTGAAGGTCTTAACTTCTAGGTCTGATTCTAATATTGGCATAAAGAAAAATGAGCAAACAGTCATACAGCTGTGCTCATGACAGCCATGGTTTATTTATGTGTTAGGGTACCAACATGCCAAAACCATTTTAGTTCAATTCTCCTGGAACCAATTTTGTTAAAAGTCTTTGACACACCTTTTATATGTGATTTTTTACTCAATGAGAAAAGGTTGACTGTAGACATGGTGTCCCTGCTGAATATTTTACAGTATGGAACAGATACAATTTTGGTTGCAATTTAAATATCATGATTTTATCTCAGAATTACAAAACAGAAAGCTATGTAGACATTAGTTTCCATTGCATTGGCATTGATTATTACCTAAATCTTTCTCCTTATTAGCAATAACCAGTTAGA